TTTTCTCAAAGATTTCTGCCCCATTGTTTCTATAAAAAGTCTAATGCCAAGGATCATTTTTTATAAAAGAAGAAAAGGGCAATTTCTAGTAAGTTGCAAGCAATGAATGTAAATTGGTTCAAGTTTCTGGACAAAGGTTGTTAACTAAGAGAGCCTTGGGCATCTTAAAGCAGCCCTTTCTATATCTACCGTTGTGCTCAGAGTGGCAGAAAGACATCCCAGAGTCCTCCTCACTTTTTTTCCGTTAGAGATTTAGGTTGGACAAATGAGAGTGGAGGCTGGGATCTGGATGGAGGTGGGGTGGGGAGAAAGGAAAAGTAAGTACAGGCTTAAGGTTTCATCAATTCAATTATACTGCCCTAAGAGAAAATGTGCTGGGAAAAAAAGCCTTAAATGTAAAAAGCAGTGAATAACAAAAAAAAAAAAAAAAAAAAAAAAAAAGAGTAAATTGAAAAAATCCTCTGCAGGGGGCTTTTTGAAGGACCAAAGCATCATTATTAGTGATACTGACTCAACCAAAGAGAACAAAAAATCCCCTTCCACAGACTCTTCCTAAGATGAATATTTTAAAAGAAATGCTTTCGGCACTGTAATTTTGAAACATTTAGGCGTTTCTCTTGGTTGTAGATGTTGAATTGATTTTGTGTGTATTCATCTGCACTGGACTTCAAGTTCAATTTCACTTTAGTCTGGTGGCTGTTTCCACAGATAGCAACAATAAGGCTTGTAGTTTACAAAGCGATTTTTATGGGCAGCCTCCCCCCAACTCCAACAAATGCTGAAAAGTTTTAAAGAAAAATTTTCTCTGCCCATAAAAAAGAGTGCTTCCTAATTTAACAGACAGATAATTTTGTTTGATATTTCTGGAAAACATTAAAAATTCCAATAGCTCAAAAAGTCATTTTAGTCCCAGTTGGAAGGACACAATTGGGTAAATTCACAACTGATTTCTCATTATCAAGAATCTAACTAGTGGGAAAAATCACTAGGAGTCACCAGATTGACTCCCTTTGTAACTAAGCACCTGGCTGCCCCTCCTTTAGGTGGGAACTTCTGCACATCCCCCACCCACTGGAAGGCCAGGGGGCTTGGATCTTTCCACCACTTATCTTTCTTTATTTTGTTTGCTTTTTGAATTATTTTCTTCTTTATGCCCCAACAGTAAAAACTGACCCAAAGAAATACTTTGAAATCATGATTCTAAGAAAGTAGAATAATATTAACATAAGTAGCAATTATCTCAGGGGATCTCAGCCTTCTCCCTGTTGGTTCTGCTGTCACGGAGATGGTTAAGGATCAATTTTGTGTTCCTTCATTGCTCGTGATAAGAAAGATCCAGGAGCAATTAAGAGTAGGGGTTTTCATTTGGTAAAAATATGGTATTCGTATCAACTACAACTAATT